CAGTGCGGTGATTCCTCAAGGAGCTAGACATAGAAATAACATTTTACCCAGCAATCCCATTACTGCGTGTATATCCAAAGGATTATAAATCATTCTTTTATAAAGACACATTCATACATATGTTTATTGTGGCACTATTCACAACAGCAAAGATTTAGAACTAACCCAAATCCCTATCAGTGATAAACTGGATAAAGAAAATGTGGCACATATACACCATGGAATACTATGCAGCCATAAAAATGATGAGATAATATACTTTGCAGGGACTTGGATGAAGGTGGAAACCATCATTCTCAGAAAACTGGCACAAGAATAGAAAACCAAACACTGCATGTTCTCACTCATAAGTCGGGTTGAACAGTGAGAAGACATGGATACAAGGAGGGAAATGTCACACACCAGGGCCTGTCAGGGAATGGGGGGTAGGGGAGGGATAGCAGGGGGTGGGGGAATTAGGGCAGGATAGCATTAAGAGAAATAGCTACTGTAGTTGACAAGGTGATGGATGCAGCAGACCACAAGGTCACATGTATACCTGTTAAAAACCCTGCACATTCTGCACATATACCCCAGAATTTAAAGTACAGAAAGAAAGAAAGAAAGAAAGAAAAAAATAGTGGTAGCATGCAAGAACAATGTGAGAATTTTAATAGAAATAAAAAAATTAAAAGAAGACTAAACAAAAATATTGGTGTTGAAGAATATAATGAGTCAGCCAAAAATTTTACCGGAGCACCCTGTGGGATAGGCTCAGGCTTTCCTCCCCCCTAGAGCAGGTAGCCCTGAAATTTCCCTAGACATTAATCACTGTTTCCTCCCTCCCACCTTCTGGGTTCTCCTCAGAGATGCCCTGGACTCCAGAGTTCAGGTTCTCACATGTTGTGTGACTTTGGGTGTAAACACCCTGAAACACTGAGTGGCTGTTGGCCTTGATCACTTGATCATCATCCACATTTTAGTTGATGAGATTTTTCTTACCTCATTTTGGAGGACAGAAAACCAACCCATGGACTCTACCAAGGGCAGAGTGACTTCTCTCTCTTTCCCTTGGTAGCTGCGAATGGAGCCCCAAATATAATAGAAATCAATGAACACTGCAGGTCTCACAACACTTTCTTGGTCAACTGGTCCAACAGTGTGAGGACCACAGCAGCAAAATTATTTCATGAGACTAATTCTGCACCCACTGCAGGCACATTTCTCCTTATGTACCGGGACCTCCAGTCCATGGCAGCCTGTGATTAAGGAGAAGGAAAGAACCATCCTTGAAATTTTCACCATACATGTGGTAAGAGAAACTGATATTTCTGTCCACTGGTTTCCAGACCCAGGTATTGTAGCTCCTGGCCACTGGGCACTGTGGTGCTTTCTGTTTTGGGGCATTTAAGTATCCTGGAGAATAGTTTTATCCCCAAAATAAACCTTCATTAGAGATTAAATTTCCTACTATAAACAGTAGAATATAACACCTGGTGAATATCTCATATTAGACTATGGAGACTTAACCTTTCCATTGTTCTACTGGGGTCTTTGTGTCTGGGCAAATGTGAAGGAGAAAGAACTGCTGCCTCTCATACTCATGTTCCCGTGTTCAAATCTCCTATCTGGTAACTATAGCTACATTCCCTCCTGTCAGAGCACATTATGCAGTGTCTCATTCTAGGGAATAAGATATTCAGTAACTTGGAAATTCGCACGAGTAGCTTCTCTATGATTAAGAAAAACATACATATGAAGGTAAGATTTAATTCTTCTAAGTATAAATTACTACCTAGCAGGTTTGAACCTTGACTAAAATTTTCAAATTGTCTCCATATGACTGGTGGGTATCCTTACAGGATGTAATTACTTTGTTAGACAAAAGTGATATCTACCACTATCAGCTCAGGCACTTGATGAGAGGTGACACCTCCAGTCTGCTTGGAGGAATCTATTGGGATTCACTTGGGGTGGCAGGCAAAATATTAAGAGAAATACTAGGGAAAGGATATAAGATATCTTTTGGAAGGCTGAAAGGTTTTTATTAACTTATGGAACCGGCTGAAGGCAGCCCGTTCTTGTGTTAGACCTTTAGGTCATAGAGTGAAGATTAGGAATAATAAAAGCTTCTCCAGTTAATTCTGTTTACACCACATTTCTTTATCCCTACTCGAATTTGTTTACTCATGTACACTTTGTGCTGGATGACCCTCTCACAGGTCAGTCAAACGGGAATTACCTATTAATGGTGTTTCTTCTGGGCCCCAGAACTAAGACCTTTTATCATTCATAAAACCATTCTTTTAATCATGTTATTTACTGACAAGCATGTTGACTTAGAACCTCAATTATTAAATATATACTGAATAAATGTGAGGAGGACCAGTGAGCAGTGGTCTGTTAGCTGCAATCATCTTCTGAAAGCAGGAGGCGAGCATCCCTAGCCCACTCAAATCACTGTACTGGGTGTAAGAGTGTATTTCATTCATCCGTCGCTGTCAGGGTCTGCAGGACAGACCTCCGCAGGTAGTGCTCAACGTCTCAGTGTCCGTGCTCAGTCTCTATTGTACATGTTATGGAAAGCTCTTATATAAAGAGAGAAGATTCTATCACTTGTGTAGCAGATCAGTTAAACTGCAGAAGATCATCGTACTATGAGGATTCCATACCCTCCTATGCAGCAGAATAGATTTCCCTGGCTTTCATCTGCTGGCTTTCTTACGTTAAATATTACTGAATTTACTTTTGCATACATTTTTAAAATTGTAAGCTGCTGACTGCTTATTTCATTAATGTAAGCAACTGTAAATTTTAAAATTATCAATTACCTGTAAAAAGAAACATAAGGTGGGCATGGTGAAGATGCCAAGTACAGATACCAGAAAATGAAACTAAGAAAGAAACACGTTGTGTTTAAGTTTAGAGTAGTCAGTAAGCACTGAAGCCATGAGGAGCTTGTGTTGACTTTTATATGAAGAAAGTCAATTATATTTGACATCCTGAAGGCTGGCCACACCAGTGAGAAAACTCTGTAGAGTGATCTGCACAGAACAGAAATTAGAAAGTGATAAAATCACAAACTTGCAACACCAGCAGACCTTCAGTGTATTCAGCATTCAGCTCTTTGTATTTCTTCAAAAAAAAAAAAAAAATAGATGGGTTATATGTGCATGGAAAATGGAACAAGTGCTTTCTAAGCTGATTCTCCTGGGAAGTTGCTAATGATGCTCTGACCCAGGATTGTGAAGAGGACGTTGACCTCTGGTGGTCGCTGTTGGCAACATGGGATGCTCTACCCTGGTGGGTGTTACAGTTTTGTCCACAGAGATTTAGGCTGTCATGTGCTGCATGCAGGTGATTTCTTAAACCTCAGATGAGGAAAATAGCATGACCACACAGAAGATGAGAAAATTGAAGACCTCACTTCATCAACCACTTTCCACGGAAGAGAACTTTTTACACAGAGAGCCAGGGATGAGCTGGGAAGAGGAGGGGGTTGGGGAAGATCATCCATCAGAGGACACACCCAGCCTGCCAGGACTCCTTGTGGAAAGAAGGTTTAAATGCTTGTCCTCAGCTAATCGGGTGTATTTCAAGACCTTTTCAAGCTTTCAGAAAGACAGTTTTCATGAACAAATGTGCAAACTTTACTCAGTTGTATATTTCATAGTTTATTCTTCCTCTCTAGGCAGCACCACATTAGGACGTTCTCAGAATTCTCCCTGATCTTTCTTGAGCGTCTGGTGCAGGTCCTGGAGGAAAAGCCTGCATGGGAAGGGAGCCCTCCTCATGTGCAGCCCTGAGGCTGTCACATCCCTCATCCACCATCACCCTGCAGTCACTTGGTCACCATTTCTGAGCTAATATCCCTGCAAATTGTGATTTCGGGGCAGTATGTTCATCAGGTGAGAAAATCATTAAGCTCTGTTTTTTCTGCATCCAAGTATCCCTTTCTGAAACACAGGTTGGTTGTGAGTGTGTGGTAGTGGGTAATTAGTGGGAGGAGGTTTGTGTGCGTCTTGTCATCTCCCAGAGTGCAACTGCCATGGGGGTGACACCCACAGGCAAGCAGATGGGACTTGCTCAGCTGGAAGATGACAAACATTTTCATAACCTATGACCTCAGTGCTGCTCTTTCCCTGTAAGACCAAGTGTGATCATACCTCTGGCTAATGTGTAGTCAGCAAGGGTGACCAGTGCCCACCCGTGAGGGCTCCTTCCAGGTGCCCACCCACTTTGTAAAGGGAAGCTTCTGTTCCTGCCTGGGTCCCATGCATGTGTTTGCATTTGCTGCATGAACTGCCTTATTCAGAACCATCACCCAAGAGCATCCAGTGTATCTAACACACCTCTAGGGCATTACACATGGAGTCTCTCATTGCCAGGGTCTCCAATTCCCATTCAAGGATGCCCATTATGTGATTCATCAGAACTTGCTGGCCTTTCAGAGACATGAACCTACCTCTAAAAGTTTAAAAATCCTGCTCTCTGGGAAGGGACATTGTAAACCAGAAGTAAGATAAGCTCTAAATTAACATTTATTTTGTGGATTTTGGAGGAAAAATTTCAAAATGTAATAGCCTCACCCACTCTCCCTCTAAATAATATCATTTCTAGAAAGCCACTGTAAAAACGTGTCATGCTCCGAGGTAATTTAGACTTGTTATATTAGGAGATCATCAGAAAAAGAGCCAAGCGTCCTTGTAGATTCATCCATTGCAAGTGGTTTGTGACTCTGGTGTTGGATGGTCATAGCAGAGAAAGCTCTGCCTGTGTAGGGCAGGGATTCATGAGAATTCTCAAACCTTCCATGCAATTTCATTATAATCCTAAAATTGCTCTAAAATAATTTTTATGATAAGGAGTGATAGAAACGTTTGAAAGAAATTTTAGCCACTTTTTAAGAATCATACTTAGTCTTACCACATGATCAAATAAACTTGCTGCAGATTATTGATTCATCTAATTTTAAAACATGTTCAAAGTAGCACCTTCATGGAATATCTGCATCAACCGCAATCAACATATTGAGTGTGGCCTTTCCCACTCTGTGAATCTGCCTTATATGATGAGTCTTGAATGGAATATTTATCTTAAAATGAGAGTGTGCACTTGTTTCCACTGTTATTTTCTCTCAAATAAAGAACTCATCTTGTAAAAAGCCTTAAACCTGGTAATCCCTGTCATCTCCTCAGCTCAGCACAGCTGCCCCATCACTGGGGTTTCTGACACTCTCAGGATGTGGTTTTCACACTGTGTGTCTTTCGCACAGTAATACACGGCCGTGTCCTCAGATCTCAGGCTGCTCAGCTCCATGTAGGCTGTGCTCGTGGACTTGTCCACGGTCATCGTGACTCTGCCCTGGAACTTCTGTGCATAGCCTGTGTTACCATTGTAAGGGTTGATCCATCCCATCCACTCGAGCCCTTGGCCAGGGGCCTGTCGCACCCAGTTCATATAGTAGCTGGTAAAGGTGTATCCAGAAGCCTTGCAGGAGACCTTCACGGAGGCCCCAGGCTTCTTCACCTCTGCCCCAGACTGCACCAGCTGCACCTGGGACTGGACACCTGTGGAGAGGAGACAGGAGTGAATAAAATCCTCGTTGACTGAACCAGAATCCCTTCCTCAGCTTTGGGACTAGGAAGTCCTTTACCTGTAGCTGCTGCCACCAAGAAGAGGATCCTCCAGGTCCAGTCCATGGTGATGAGCTCTGCCCACTTGGGCTTCTTCAGAGGAGGGATGTGGTTGTTGGGTGAGGCTTGCAGGGAACCAACACATCCATATTTATCTCAGAAGACCTCAGGTCATTTGCATATTCATGAGGCACGGTATTTCACAGCCTAAAGCCTGATCTAAGAGGGGAAGGAAAACACAGATGCCACCTCAGCCATACAAGAGTGGGATGCTGAGAGACCAAGCCCTAATCCTGCCTGAGGAAATGCATCCCCTGCCCCATTTCTAAGCTTTCTGTGGACAGCACTCTTCTCACTGAAGAGCAAGTCCCACCCCAGGATGTGCTCCTCACTGTGAACCCACATTTTATTGATATAGAGATTACCTGGATTGTATCTGGGGCCATCACTGCCTCTGACATTGAGCAGGAAACTTGACTCCATCCTGGTCCCATTAGGAACGTCAGAACTCACTGGTAATACTGAAAAGTGGGCAATGGTTATCCACATGAGTGTTCAGCAGGGCCCATGGACAGTTCTGAGATCTGCTGGACACTCCCCAGTACCTGCCTGAGAGTCCTGAGCTCCCAGGCCCTTCAATGGAAAGACTCTGGTTTACAGATTTGCCCTGTAATGTGTGATTGGTTCTGAATTTTCCCTCCCATTGATAGTAGGAATCAGGGATTGAAATATAAACAGGAAATTGAATTTCTTGATAAGCCCATAGGTCCCCAAATAATTACCAAGTAATTTGCATTTTGAATAAGTTTGGGTTTTACTTCAAACTCCATTAAATAGAATTATTTGAAGTATTTAATTACTTTTCATTCATATGCATAGATCGTCATATTTATATATTGGTTTCTGATCCTCTTGGTCCATGCACCTGCCACACGCTGGAATCCACCACTGCCAAGTCACACACACTATGTAAGAAACATTACCTGGCTCTGAAATCTGAATATCTTATCCATTGGAATATAGTGTCTCCCACAGTTATGTAACTATTGAATTAATAAAATCATCCATTTCTTTCATATTCTTACTACGAAGATATCTATTATCCTATAATCCAACTTTAAAATACATTTTTGATTGCTTTATTCAGTGATATAAGTGGTCCATACAAAATAGGATATTTAAAGGCATATTGGCAACTTGTTGAAAAGTTAATTTAGAATGATTTTTTGAATAAGGAAGACTCAGGGCCTGAGAGAATATTTCTCATTACTTATCTTCCACAAATAAGTCAGAACATATAGCATGCTTTTTTTTTTTCTTTCTTTCTTTTTTTTTTTCTGTTCCTGCATTAGTGTGCTAAGAGTAATGAACTCCAGTTTCATCATGTGTTTTCAAGGGACATAATTTAATTCTTTCTTAGCTGCTTAGTAGTCCACAGTTATATGTACCACATTTTCCCCTATCTATTCTGCCAGTGATGAGCATTTAGGTACATTCCATGTCTATGCCATTGTGAATTGTGCTGCAACAAACCTACATGTTTATATTCCTTTAGGTATGTGCCAGTTGAAGAATTTTTGGGTCAAATTAAACTTCTGTTTTAGGTTATTTGAGGGACCACCACACTGCTTTCCACAGTGGTTGAACTAATTTATATTCTCACTGGAAGTGTATAAATGTTTTCTTTCTTCCTGCAACCTTAGCAGCATCTGTTATTTTATTTTTTAAGATTAGCCATCCTGACTGATGAGATGGTACCTCACTGTGGTTTTGATATATATTTCTCTAATGATAGTGATATTCAGCATTTTACTTCTTATCGGCCACATGTAGGTCTTTTTTTAAAGTGTCTTTTTTATGTCCCTTGGCCACTTTTTTTTTCTTGTATGATTAAGTTCTATCTATGTTTTGAATATTAGACCTCTACAGGTGTATAGGTTTCAAATATTTTATTTTCCATTCTATAGGTTGTCTCTTTACTCTGTTGATAGTATCTTTTGCCATGCAGAAGCTCTTCAGTTTATTTACATTCATTTGTTAATTTTGATTTTGGTTAAATGGCTTCTAGCATTTTCGTCATAGTCTTTGCCAGTTCTTGTGTCCCAAATTGTATTTCCTAGATTATTATTCAATGTTTTTTTTTTTTTTTTTACAGTTTTAGGTTTTACATTTAGATGTTTACTCCACATGTAATATTTTTCAATTGATGCTGAAAAAGCATTTGATGAAACTCAACATCCTTTCATGAAAGAAAACCTTTAAAAAATGGGTATAGAAAGAACACATCTTAACATAATACAAGTTACATCAGAAAGACTTTCAGGGAGTACCGTATTGAATGAGAATAACTGAAAGTCTTTTCTCTGAGATCCAGAACAGGAAGAATTTCCCTCTTTAACCACTAGCAGAGCATAAACTCTTCCGCTGCCACCGCAGGCGGCTCCTACCTGCCAACACCACCTGCTGGTCTGATGCTGAAACTGCACGACATAATACAGAGTCACCACCACCAGTCACAGCACATGAAAATGATACTGACTTTTCAACCCTTCAAAAGAAGTCAAAAGAAGGTTGAGAACCAACAGAAGCAAATCAGAAAAGCTCAAGATTTACGTAAGACTTTGATTTTTTAAAAAATGATCTTCAGGTAATAAAGACTTCATTGAATTAATTACAGTTTAAAGCTTTACCAATGGACTACACTAAAAAGAAGAAAGAACGTAAAATATAAGAGACAGATACTTCCAATTAACTCAGTCACAAAAAAATCAAATCAAAAAATGAACAAAATTTTTGTGAAATATTGGATAATGTGAAACAACTGAGCCAATGAATCATGGATATTTCTAAGGGATGAATCTAGATGGATTAAAGATTTAAACAGGAGGTCTAATACCATAAAAACTCTAGAAGAAAACCTAGGTAATAGCATCCAGGACATTGGCATGGGCAAGGACTTCATGACTAAAACACCAAAAGCAATGGCAACATAAGTCAGAATATACAAGTGGTATGTAATTAAACTTAAGAGCTTCTGCACAGCAAAAGAAACCATCAGTTGAGTGAACCAGCAACCAACAGAATGGGAAGCAATTTTTGCAATCTACTCATCAGACAAAGTGCTAATATTTAGAATCTACAGAGAATTTAAACAAATTTACAAGAAAAAAACAAACAATGGCATCAAAAAGTGGGCAAAGTATATGAACAGGCACTTTTCAAAGGAACACGTTTCTGCAGCCAACAAACATATAAAAAAAAGCTCATCATCACTGATCATTAGAGAAATGCAAATTAAAACCACATTGAGGTACCTCCTCATGCCAGTTAGAATGGCGATCAGTAAAAAAATCAGGAGACAACAGATGCTGGAGAGGTTGTGGAGAAATAGGAATGCTTTTACACTGTTGGTGGGAGTGTAAATTAATTCAACCATTGGGGAGACACTGTGGTGATTCCTCAAGGATATACAAATAGAAATACCATTTGACCCAGAAACCCCATTACTGGGTATATACCCAAAGGATTAGAAATCATTCTATTATAAAGACACATGCACACATATGTTCATTGCAGCACAGTTTGCAAAGACTTAGAATCAGCCCACATGCCCATCAAAGATAGAATGGATAAAGAAAATGTGGCACATATACACCATGGAATACTATGCAGCCATAAAAACGAAGAGTTCATGCTCTTTGCAGGGACATGGATGAAACTGGAAACCATCATTCTCATCAAACCGACATAACCACAGAGAAGCAAACACTTCATATTATTAGTCATAAGTGGGTGTTGAACAATGAGAACACGTGAACACAGGGAGGGGAACATCACACATGGGGACCCGTTGGGGAGTAGGGGGCTAGGTAAGGGATAGTATTGGGAAAAATACCTAATGTAGATGACGGGGTGATGGATGCAGCAAACCACCATGGCTTGTGTATACCTGTGTAGCAAACCTACACGCTCTGCACATGTACCCTAGAACTCAAAGCACATGTATATAAAAAAAAGAGAACCTCCTCCTGCACCTGCTCCTGGGACCTGTCGTCAGAGGTGCTCGAGCGCCCCCTGGTGGCCCCGCGCGCCCTTGCAGGAGGTTTGCGTCCGGGCTCACATTGACCTCCCCTGTGTCTCACACAGTAACACAGGGCCGTGACCTCGGTTTTCAGGCTGCTTATTTGCAGCTACAGCGCGTTATTTGAATCATCTCTTGAGGTGGTGAATCTGCCTTTCACAGATGCAGTGTATTCCGTCACAAACTTGCAAAACCAGAAGACATTCAGTGTATTCAGTGTTCACCCCTTTCCATTTTGCTAGGAAGAGAAAATGGATGGGCTATACCGTCCTGGGAAATGAGACAAGCAGTTTTTAAGATGACTCTGCGGGGAAGTTGCCAACAGCATCCCCCAGTGGTGCTCTGACACAGGATGGTGGAGGGACGTTGCCCTGTGGTGGTTGTGGTCAGCAACACGGGATGCTCAACCCTAGTGGGTGCCTTTGCCACTGTTTTGCCCATGAGAGACATTAAGCTGTGATGTGCCACATGCTGCTGAGTTTCTTATACTCAGATGAAGAGAGGAACATGACAACACTGAAGACGAGTTTGATGGATAATACTGAGTGTCAACTTGACTGCACTGAGGATGCAGAGAATTGTTCCTGGTGTGTCTGTGAGGGTGCTGCCAAGAAGGTGAACATTTGAGTCAGTAGACTTGGGGAGGCAGACCCAGCCTCAACCTCGGTGGGCACCATCTAATCAGCTGCCAGCATGGCTAGAATCATGCAGGTAGAAGAAGTTGGAAGGATTAGACTTGCTCAGTCTTCGGCCTTCATCCTTCTCCCATGCTGGATGCTTCCTGTCCTGGAACATCAGAATCCAAGTTCTTCAGCTTTTCACTCTTGGGCTCACACCAGCGGTTTGCCAGGGACTCTCCGGCCTTTGGCCACAGATTAAAGGCTGCACTGTCAGCTTCCCTACTTTTGAGGTTGTGGGACTCGGACTGGCTTCCTCACTCCTCAGGTTGCAGATGGCCTATTATGCGACTTCACCTTGTGATCGTGAGTCAATAATCCTTAATAAACCCCCATTCAAATACATACATCTATCCTATTAGTTCTGACCCTCTAGAGAATCATGTCTAATACAATGAGAAAAGTGAAGAACTCAGTACATCAACCACATTTCACTGAGATCTTGTCCCACAGAGAGCAGGGGATGTGCAGGAAATAGAGAGGGCTTGGGGGATACTGTCTGTAAAAAACAGATGCAGCCTAATTCAACTCTACATGGAAGAAGGATTTACAGGTTTGATCACAGCTTATGATGGCTTATGTCCCAACCTCCACAAGGTTTCAGAAATACTTTGTATTAACAAATGTAATAATTTATCTACTTTTTTTTCCCATAGCATTTTTTTTTTTCTTCTGGGCAGCACCACAGAATAATGTCTTCAGAATTCTCCCTAATCTTTTGTGAGTTCCTGGAAGAAAAGCCTGTATGGGGAAGGGAGCCCTCCTCATGTGCAGCCCTGAGGCTGTCACATCACCTCACCCACCACTGCCCTTCAGTCACTTGGTCAACATTTCTGAGTTTACCTTCCTGAAACATATGGCATTAGGTAGTGTTAAAAACCACTCAAGTTCTGTTTATCCCTGCAGGCACCTATCCTTTCTGGAATATAGTTTGTTTCTGAGTGTGTAGTAACTGAAGCTTAATAGAAGGTTTGTGTGCATCTTGTCATCTTCCAGAGTGTAGCCACCATGGGGTTGACACCAACAAGCAAGCAGATGGACTTGTTCAGCTGGAGGATGAGGCATTTCCATAGCCAGTGACCCCACTGGGGCTCTCACTCTCGAAGACCAATCAGGTCATGACTCTGGCTAATGTGCAGCCAGCAAGCGGGACCAGTGCCCACCCATGAGAGGGTTTCTTCTATTTCCCTTCCACTTTGTAAATGGAAGCTATTGCTTCTGCCTGAATCTCATGTATGTGTTTTCATTTTCTGTACGATGGGTGTCATCCAGAAACACCCAAAAAGCTTACAGTGAATCTAACGGAACTACAGAAAATCATACATGATGTGCCTCATGGCCAAGGTCTCCACTTCTCATTAAAAGACATTCCTGATGGGATTCACCAGAACTTTCCATGACATGGATTTACCCCTAAGCACTTAGAGACCTTACTCCCATGGAAGGGACATAGTAAATCAGTAAATCAGGAGTCACAGAACCTGTAAGAAAATATAAATTTTGTGAATCCCCTAAAATAGAGTCCAAATAGTGATAGCCCCACCCACTTTTGCTCTAACTGGCATCATTCCCAGGAATCCACTTGAAGAACCTATGGTGCTTCAAGATAATTTAGGCTTGGTATGCCAAAGGACCGCCAGAAAAAAAAAATAAAACAATGCATCCATGGAAGTTTATCCATCGTAACTTATTTGACTGGGGCAGGATGGTGATAGTGGGGCAGGCTGAGCATGTGTGAAGAGGGACACAGGGGAACTCTCTGCACCTTCTGTTTCATTTCGTTGTGGTCTTACAATTTCTACTAATGTATTTTATGTGAAAGGAGTCACAGAGACATGCTGGAATACATTTTGAGCAGTTTTTAGGAATCATATTGAGTCTTAGCCATGTTACCAGCAACATTGCTCAGAATTTTTTATCTATCTGATTTTAAAACTCATGCCTCCACAAAGCCTCCATGGGAATCTTTGCATCAGCTTGATTGATTGCTGTTTTTACCAGTCTGTAAATTTTACATATTGGGTGATTATCGAAAGAGTTATTTCCTATACAGAGTGCATATATGCTTCTATTGCTCATATTTCTCAATGTTTAGCCCATTTTTGAGAGAACTTTAAGCACTGTAATCCCTGTAATCTCAAATTCAGTGCCGCTGCCTCCTCCCTGGGGTTTCTGACACTCTCAGGATGTGGTTTTCACACTGTGTCTCTCGCACAGTAATACACAGCCGTGTCCTCAGGTCTCAGGCTGCTCAGCTCCATGTAGGCTGTGCTTGTGGACGTGTCTGCAGTCATGGTGACTCTGCCCTGGAACTTCTGTGCATAGTTTGTGATACCAAATATAGGGACAATCACTCCCATCCACTCAAGCCCTTGTCCAGGGGCCTGTCGCACCCAGCTGATAGCATCGCTACTGAAGGTGTATCCAGAAGCCTTGCAGGAGACTTTCACTGAGGCCCCAGGCTTCTTCACCTCAGGCCCAGACTGCACCAGCTGCACCTGGGAGTGGACACCTGTGGAGAGGAGACAGGCATGGGTGAAGTCTCACTTGACTGGCCTGGTTTCTCCCTCAGCCCTGGGACTGGGGAGCCCCTTACCTGTTGCTGCTGCCACCAGGAAAAGGATCCTCCAGGTCCGGTCCATGGTGAGGAGCTGTGTTCTGGGGGCTTCTCCTGAGAAGGGCTGTGGTTGTTGGGTGATGCTCTCAGGGCACAGAGATATCTAAGTTCACCTCAGTTATTTGCATATGCATGAAGGATGCTATTTAATAGCCCAATTCCTGATCCAGTATGAGAAACAGCAAATAGATGACACATGGACGACACAACTGTAGAAGCTGAGGGTTCAAGCCATAAATCTGTTGGAGGCCATGTGTCCCCAACACATCTCTGAACTCTATGTTGACAGAGCTTCCCCCACTGGAGAACAAGCTCCCCCAGGACACGCACATCACTTTGATTCCACATTTGAATGTCTCCTTGGCAACTTGAACCATTTCCAGACCGTAATATGTGAATGCATTATTTTGGGAATGAGTGTTTATCCAAAAATGACACTTATTTGTAAGGAAGGATCTCGTCCTGACTTGCAGCTGCTTACTATTAAGACGTCTAGCAGAGTTTGAAATCCCCTTTGTAAAAATGGTTCTCCTTACAACATCCAGTTTGATAAGTGCTCACAATTGAACAGGATATTTATATGAACATTAACAGTCCTTGTGAAATACTTATTTTAGATATTTTAAAGGAAGTCCCAGGACCTGAGAGGAACCCCTCCCCAGCCTCCTATCCTCTGCACCTGCTCTGGGGCCGGAGCCTGTGCTGGGTGTGTCCTGAGCGCCCCCTGCAGCCCAGCCCGGACCCTGCAGGGAGGTTTCTGTCTGAGCTGACACACACTCGTATACTCCTACGAGTGTCTCTAGCCCAGTATAAAGTGGCTGTGCCCTGGTTCCGAATTCTCCTTTAATGACACCATATGCTTATTACACCATCTTTTGAAACAGTGAATTGGCCTTAGGAAACCCAGTGAACTCTGCAGGGAGACCCTAAGAAAATATCTAATGCATCTTCAGGGAGCACTTTCATGGAGCTCAAGAGGTACCGAATCATTGTTCACATAGTGGATCCAAAAACTCTTCAGAGGTTTGGGGGAGACTCTTATTTCCTTTAGGGTCCTGCAGTTGATTACTGCCCCTGAGAATACCTGCAGATACAGGTGCATGTAGATGGAATCCCACTCCAATGCAACTGTTCAAATCACAGACACAGACACAGACACCCACACACTCACACTTACCCAGATACACACGTACACACACGTACACACACACACACGTATACATTGTGGCTAATTTTTACATTAATGAGTCCCATGTTTGCCATGTTTTTTCTGGTATCAATTTAATGGGAAACTCTCCCTACACCAGCACTAAGGTTGAGTTTGTGTCTTTCTGCAAACAGAAATAAAGAAAACAGAATACAAGTGGAGACCTGGGAAGGACATGCACATTGAATTCACTGGTGTCACTTTGGAACTGCAGATGTCCCATGCAAAGTAAATTTGAGACTGAGGGTGAAATCATTTTATTGGTGCCAAAGTTGTTGGTGTCAGTGAATTCAAATTGCTCTTATTTTCCTTAACATTTTTATCCTATTTTCCTCCTCAGATAAGAGTTTTTACATTGCCACACTCTGATTTGTAATCCATATTAACTAAACTGGTGATAATATACTGTATGGTACATGGAAGCATTACATGTTCTTACAGCTGAATTTTAATGCTGTAGTGGTCTTCTTTCATGTTACAAAAAGTTAAAAAAGATTAGGGACCCGAAGATGAAATGCAGACTATACAGAAAATATTTGATGTCTTTACAGGTATATGAAACAACTTGACTGAATAAGAAAAGCTGCTAAATAGCTTTAGAAATAATAAAGTCAGTAAGAATAAGAAACAAACTGCATGCCAGCACTGTCCTGTAGTTGATGATGATGTTCCACAAAGAAGCACAGCTTACCAACTGTGATTCCATGCTACAGGAATTCTGGAATTAAACAAAAAAGGGAATGCATGTTGTGTGTTTGGAGGGGGTTCTCACAGCTGGAGCAGGAGGTTATGGACAGCAAGGAAGAAAAGTGAGAAATGTCCAAGTAGTATTGGATTACGGTGAACATGCTAGTAGGTTTGTATGTTTGGCAAAATATGCATACAACAAATTAGATAAAAATATTTCATTGAAAAAAAGCAGAAAATAGGCTCTGACCTAAATAACTTTGGAAATGGGGGAATTCTGAAACTCTAAACTATAAGTTAACGGCACATAAGCACTGTACTCTAGTAGGTAAACATGTTTCCAACTGGGATACAGCTTCACAGTTTTGCTACTGCTATGTGCATGGTTCTTGAAATTCTGCTATGTATTGTTCTTGAAACTGTGCAGAAACGTAATACAATGGCATATGGTCGGATGGGGTTCCTCACTTTGCAGTGGGTGGTGATTAACAGGCAAGACAGTCAGGCTGTAAATGTTCATGTGGTATCTTTGTTGGGTGGAGATATAAGTGTGTTCTAATTTTTAATGTAATATAAGTTCACAAGATTAGATGTATAGTTTAGATGTGACTGTAAACATGGGTTAATATACACATTCACATTTTCTAGGCCAGTTAACTGAGAGGTCCTAAAAGGACTTATATCCCATTAATAACACATACACCCAACCTCACAATTTTCTATTTTAATACTATTCTTCAAGACCAGAAGGTAGCAATCCCTTAGAATTTCTTATAATACTGGGAAGTAGTAAAGTGTTCAAAAAGAAAAGGAAAAGAGATCCTATAAGGACACAGGATCCTAATTAAGTGAGGTCCCAGCCTTTGTATTGAAAAAGGTGTGGTGATTTGAGCAATAACTTAAGTCAGGAGGCATGGTTCATCCTCAGAGTTAAATATCCATAAACCAATACTGTTATTAATAGATAATTAAATAAAGAAAACTAGAAAAAAAGACACATCTCCCTTACAGAAGTATTCAAAATATCTCAGGTTGATGGTACTCTTTCTTATCAAGTAGGTGAGGTTTAAACACTCATGTTTGATTGTAGCCTGAGATTATACATATGGAAAAAATAATCACTGCTAGTTTATTTTATAATGAGTTTTTAGATATAATGTCAAAAATATGGTCTATGAATGAATAAAATTAAACATATTAATGTATCCAAATTTATAAATGTGCACACACATTTTTCGGCAATACACACTGATAAGGGAGTAAAAAGACAAGGTCAGACTTGGAGAAAATATTTTCAAGTAATGTATTTGTTAAATGACTTCTTTTAATTTAGTGAATGACTTTTATAATGATTACTCAAGTATACTTACACCTAGTTTTATAATGCAGTAAAAAATGAACCAAATATTAAAACAGGCACCTCATTAAAATTATGTAAAAATTGTTGTTTAAATTTTTCATTAGGGATGTGTGCATTGAAACAAAAGTGAGATGCTATTACTGACCTATTAAAATAGTTTCAATGCACTATATTCACAGTGCTAAATGGCAGTAAGAATGTGGAGAAAAGAACTATTATGCATGGTTGGTGGGAATCCAAAATGGTACTTGCACAAAATGAAATACATTTTGGCATTTTTAACACACACAAGAGTTAAAATGTGATCTAGTGGCTGTGTTCCAAAATATTTACAACACTGATTCAGAAATTGATGTTTGCACAGTCAACCAGTTTCTGTTCTGTTACATCTATCCCCCGGTTTGTGTTCAAATGCATCACTCATGTGAGCTCCTCCCAGAAAATGGCTGTGCACAGGGACGATATTAAGGTATGGCTGCTGCTGGGACTGATGGGAGCTTCCTGATGGGCAACAGTAATCAGGGAGGCACCAATGGACTCTCAGGAGTTAGCTTGGAACAGAGGTTAACTAGTAAGATCCATCAAACTTCAATATTTCTCCATCACTGGTTGTGATATTGGCATCCTGGTCTGATACTGTCTACAGCCTCACCTTGCCTCCTGTGTGTTTTTCTGCCTCCATTACTTGCCTCTGACTTTGAGGCAAATAATTTTTTTTTTAAATAAACTTTTCTAATCCAGAGACCTCAGTGATAGGCACAGAAACATAAATACAGAGAGGCTCCAAGGGAAACTGATGCATAGGAAGCCAGACCGTGAAGGAAGCCACAGACCCTTGACCTTCAACTACACCTGTCCTGGGGATGTCCCTAAATTCTAGGGGTGCTTGTACCCCCTGCAGCCCCAGCCTCCTTTCTTCTTGCTGCAAGAAATTTTGCGTTTTGGCTGATGCTGATTTTCCCTCACTTTGTACCTTATGTAAAGTAATAAATAAATTCATGTTCCCCGCTCTGACTGTTCATTCACAGACATAGCGAGTTTTTGGAATTGCCTTGGGAGATGGAGAATCTGTCCTTCACAGAGTTTGCATGGTATATCTGACTTCCATCTTACTTTATATTCACTGCTCACCCCAGCAGCTTCTCTGAGGGCTGGTGGACCCAGCTAATTCAGTAGCTACTCATTCAGTAGCTTATTCAGTAGCTACTAAAGTTGAATCTGGAGGCTGCCCAAAGATTCTCAGGAAAGCTCCAGGTTGTTTTATGTCTTCTCCAGACTCCACCAGCTGAACCTCATATACATAGACATCCTGGTTAGAAACTGCCAAAGGCATTCACTGTTCCTCTCACTCATATTCACTTACACTCACTATCTCTAGGAATAATATTTTAAAGTAGCAAGAAAAAAATTCTAGCTCCGTTCAAAGCCCATACTGAATCCCCTGTGTTCAGTCCTCATTACCAAGTAGAAACAGCTGGAAATCCCAGATCTGGCACTCCTCTTCCAGAGATGTAGGATCATAACTGGGGTGGTTTTCATTAGGAGAGAGAGAGCTCTATTTGTCTCTTACTACATAGCAAGCTTGAAAGTGGGATGCCTTGGAATTGGGCAGGGCCCAGAGCAGATAGGAGACTCCTGGAGAAGTTTAATGGCAATAAATGAATTTAGAGAAATATAATTTATTATGTGACTGTGCCACAAAAATTACTTTGCAATATACTTTATATGTTTTTCACATTTTTTTTTTTGAGATGGAATCTCACTCTGTAACCCAGGCTGGTGTATGTATTAATGTTGCTGGTGAAGACATCCCTTGAGACAA